CTTTGAACCTTGAGCCTCAGATCTCAGCTTCTGAAATAGCTAGGATTACAGACATGAGTCACCAGTGCCTGGCTTGCGTGTGAGTATTGATTGCAACTTTACTCATAATTGCTATAAACTGGAAACAATCAAGATACCTTTCAGTGATGGGTGAATGAAAAAACTATGGCACATTCATACAAAGGATTATTAACAATGGTAAAAAGAATTGAACTAGTCAGACATATATGTCTGAGAATGTAAAAAAGCTAGATAATCTGTGATTTTATTGTATGACATCCTGAAAAAAGTGAACTGATAGAGACAGTAAAAGATAAGGTTGTGTAAAAAGATTGTGTAAGGTTGTGTAAAAAGATATGGTTGTGGGGCTGGGAAGGTGGTAGAGCGCTTGCCTTGCATGCCAGAGGCCCTGGGTTCAGTTCCTCAGCACCACATAAGCAAAAAGAAAAAAAAGCTGGAAGTGGTGCTGTGGCTCAGGTGGTAGAGCACTAGCCTTGAGCTGAAGAGCTGAGGGACAGCGCCCAGGCCCAGAGTTCAGGCCCCACGACCGGACAAAAAAACAAACAAACAAGTAAACAAACAAAAACATCTAACAAGAGTATCTTCATATGGGGGGGGGGGAAGGGGCGCAAATGAGAAAGCTCCCAGTAGCCAGAACTAGAATTGTTGGAATAATAAAGCAATTTTTGATTATAATCCAAACCATAAAATTAATATACATGAGATGCATGAATCTGTACTGATTGAGGAAGTATATTATCACTTTGTAATTTGTAGACTTCGGATTTTGCTTATCAATCTGTGTTTTGTCAGTCTAATTTTTATTTTTTTGTTTTTTTGTCGGTCATGGGGCTTGAACTCTGGGCTTGGGCGCTGTCCCTCAGCTCTTCAGCTCAAGGCTAGCGCTCTACTACTTGAGCTACAGCGCCACTTCCAAAACTTTTTTCTTTTCTTTTCTTTCTTTTTTTTTTTTTTTTGGTCGGTCGTGGGGCTTGAACTCTGGGCCTGAGCACTGTCCCTCAGCTCTTCAGCTCAAGGCTAGCACTTTACCACCTGAGCTACAGCGCCACTTCCTAGACTTCGGATTTTGTACAGGTAGCTGAGCATAGTGGCAAGTTGAGAAGCTTCTGAAGTATTGCATTGCATTGTAGGCATGCACGTGTTTCTATATGAAACCAAACCTTTTTTTTTTTAAACTTAGGGCTGTGTTTTAACTTTTAAAAAATTCATTAAGGTACTGGGAAAAGCTGTGTTATGACCTAAGTGATTTTTTTTTTAATGCTGCCATTTTGAATTCAAGCAGAGTTGTATTTTGAGGTAGAACAGACCTCATTAGAACTTGATGTTTCCAAGGTGAAATAACAGGTAATGTTAAAAGCCAGTGTGTGGTGCTAGGATGAAAATACTGAAGTTAGTCTAATGAAAGGCCAAGGACGAGGCTGGAGATGTGGCTTAGTGGTAGAGCGTGTGCCTAGTTTGCTAACTGTGCTGTTTTAAAGCAGTACATTGGTTTCTTTCATGGAGAACACTTAATAAGGACTTGGGATTATAAAAGTTTTAAGCTTTGGCAGTGTTTTTCTATTTAACTTACAGAATTTAAAGTAGTAATTAACTTGCAGCTGATGAACATTATTAGAAATTGGTCCTATCCTTCTGATATTAATAGTCTCATCTAGGAAGTAGTATGAATTTTTTTTTTTTTTGTCGATCGTGGGGCTTGAACTCTGGGCCTGGGCGCTGTCCCTCAGCTCTTCAGCTCAAGGCTAGCGCTTTACCGCTTGAGCTACAGTGCCACTTCGGGTTTTCTGGTGGTTTATTGGAGATAGGAGTCTCACGGTCTCTCCTGCCCGGGCTGGCTTTGAACTGCGATCCTCAGATCTCAGCCTCCTGAGTAGTTAGGATTACAGGCGTGAGCCACCAGTGCCCGGCATAGTATGAATTTTTTTATCTTATATCTAAACATCTCCCTTTACCTTTTCAAATGAATTAAAATTTAAATAAAAATGAAGAGAGTCTCATTTATCATATAGTCTGCCCTTGAACTTGCCGTCTTCCTGCATGTTGTTGGGATTACAGCTGTGTACCACAATTTGAAACAAATCTGTTAAATTTTCACATTTACAGATTTTTTTACAATGTCTTTTTTTTAACAATGTCTTAATAAAACATAATAAATATAGAGGTCTTGATACAATATTTAAGATGGTGTAGTACTTTGTAGTTATTTTAACATAACAAAAAGTATGAGATTTTAATTCAGACATGGATATAATAACGCATGATTCTACCGATTTATAGTGCAAGGTATATAATCTCTAAAAGCTACATTTTAAAAGATGAGATTAAATAATACCTATTCACAAATGCTAAATGGGAAAGATCAGTACAAAAGCACCTAACATTTCGAGTTGTTGTTTACCATCAAATGTTAGTTTTCCTTTTTTGTCTTAGAAGTTGCAGGAATAGGAGATGAAGCGCTCCCAGAATGCTCACTGTACCTAAGTTCTTCACAATCATACTGGACTGGGATTCTTGCGTTTTAGTCCTAGCACAAACTTGAGTTGCAATTCTTGCTTAGCATTAATACAAGGGGCAAGTATCATGATTGTAAAATGAGGAAAGAAGTACTTACATCATTGTAAAATGATGGTAAGGAACACTTGTTTCGTGAGAATAACTATTGAACGTAGTATATAGTGCTTTATACAATATGTGTTAACTTTTTGGCATTTTTTATTATTATAAAGTAGTTATTACAATTTTGTAAGTCAAGTTACGAGCACAATATATCTTGGTTAGTGGCACCTATTCCTTTGTTCTCCCTTATTTCTCCCCTCCATCCCTGCTTCCAAATTACAGTTGATTTTTTACATAATGTACATTGCATATAGTGATTGTGTTAACTATTTTTAAGTACATCTTGAGATTGTCGATATTAGTTTCAATATTGGTTACTAGGATAAAACTATTGATAAATATAATAATGCAGTTGATTTGGAACTTCAGTTAGAGTCTGTTTAGTTAGGATTTACTTTAGATTTCTCTGTTAATCTTGTTTTAAACTTGCCTTTTGTTTGCACAGCATGGTATTTAATTATTTGAACGTATTTTTACTGTTACTGTAATTGATTAAACATTTATTAAAAGTGATTATCATGCATATCTGTGCTGTTGTTTTTCCTTACTGCTTAGCTTAGTGAAAATCTGTTACCTACATTTGTTAAGGCAGTTTTTTGACAGGCCTATGCATAGCTACTTCTGATTTTATCTTCATAACCTAGTTTATTGACTCCTTGGCCACAGACCTAAGACATTTTTGTTGTTGTTGCTTGTAACAAAAAGTTTTCATAGTATTAGAAAGAAGTGGCTTACAAGAAGCCCTGCTTTCATCCCTAGCACTGAACCATTCATTCTCTTTTGGGCCTTTTGAGTATTTATTACTTAGTATTTTAAGTGTAAACTTAACTGTTCAATGATGGGTTGTGCATTGGTGATTTGGTAAAGTGAATGGTAAGGGAAAATAACTCATTTGTGTTTGTCATTGTACATTTTAAGACATTTTTTACTTAATATAAGTATTTAATTTTAAAACAAAGTGAATTTGAGAAGAAATTTGTTGTCCATGAAGATAGTTTTAAAGTATGACTGAAAGATTAGCGGCAAAATTGCACTAAGTGAAGAATGTCTAACTAGAACATTTGAGTGATGAGTTAGAGCTTTGTTTCTTATACAGTCCTTTTGAGGAGATAGAGATTTCTCAAACCCAGTACCTTGTGATATTCTACTTCAACTTCTGTCTTCTTTCCATGTGGTTTTATGGACATAATTTTTTCTTGCTCATTTGATTTTCATTACAGATTTTCAAGATAGCTAGCTTTCAAGGTAATTTTGGTCTTGGGCAAAGAGTAGGGGATATGATTGTGAATAAAGGAAACCTTAGATAGAAATAGCTTAGTTTAAAAGTGATTACCTTATTTTCTAAAATATCAGCAATGATGTTGTATTTGTTTCTTTACCTTAAAAAAAACTTGGTTGCAATGGCTCATGCCTATAATCCTAGGTACTTCGGAAGCTTGAGAGGATTACAGTTTTATGCACAAAAGTTTATGAGACCTCCATCTTAACCAACAAAAAATGAGGCATAGTGGTCTGTCCCTGTGTAAGAAGCATAAATAAGATCATAATCCAAACTGACCAGGGCAAAAACTCAGACCCTATTCAAAGAAGTCAAAAGGACTTGTGGTGTGGCTCAAATAGTTGACCACTTGCCTAGCAATTGGGAGTCCCTGGATTTTAAACTCTCTAATGTCCCCTCCCCCAATATACATATATGAAAGAAAAAAAAAGGTAAATAAATAGTGCTATATTTCACAATACGTTGTTATTTTTTCTTCTTTTTGACAGTATTGGGATGTACCAATATACCCAGATTTTTATTAGTTGAGATAGAGCCTCAAGAACTTTTTTTGGGGGGCTGGGAAAGTGGCTCAGTGGTAGAGCGCTTGCCTTGCATGAGGCCCTGGGTTTCATTCCTCAGCACCACATAAGCGGAAAAAGCCGGAAGTGGCACTGTGGCTCAAGTGGTAGAAGCACTAGCCTTGAGCTGAAGAGCTGAGGGACGGCTCTCAGGTCCAGATTTGCCCCACGACTGGCAAAAAAAAAAAAAAAAAGGCGGCGGGGGTGGGGGGGAGAACTATTTTGCTTTGGCTGGCCTCAAACCATCATCTTTAAGATCAGCCTTCTAAGTTGCTAAGATTAGAGTATCATGAGCCATCAGGCCTGGCCATATTCTGAAAATTTAGTAAACGTTTGATAGTGTGAACAGTTCTGTGACTGATGAGCGATTTTGCATGTTGGATTAATTATGGTAAATGTTTTTTTAAGTATTTGATCTTTTGGAAGTAGAAAATAAACTTCATTCCCAAAACTTATTCCTGAAATTGTTTAAGATTTTCATATGTGTGTCTCACTTGCCTTTTTCTTTTCTGTTTCACATGCAGGTCATGGTAAAACTCCCAAAGATGCTGCATCAGTTCGTGCCACGCACCCAATACCAGCAGCCTGTGGGATTTACTATTTTGAAGTGAAAATTGTCAGTAAGGGAAGAGATGGGTAAGTACAATTTTGGTAGGAAAATCAGTTTGCTTTTTTGGTAATTATTTTTGTTCTGATTCATAAATTGATGATATAATTCAAAAGTTGTGGTCTTGAAAGTTTTGGTGTGCACAGGGTAGAACTGACTACTGCAGATTGGGTCTGGTTCTTATTAAATACTAGTTTAGGCTAAAGCTTGAGTTTGATTTCAACTGAGATTTTTCTGGTAGGTTTACTACTAAAATAGAGAGTTGGGTGTCATACAATAGGATAATGTCTCAATTGGATAACTTTTTTTTTTTTGTCAGTCGTGTGTCTTGAACTCTGGTCTTGGGCACTATCCCTCAACTCTTCAGCTCAAGCTGAGCGCTCTACCACTTGAGCTACAGTGTCACTTCTGGTTTTCTGGTGGTTTATTGGAGTTTCACGGACTTTCCTGCCCTGGCTGACTTTGAACCGAAATCCTCAGATCTCAGCCTCCTGAGTAGCTAGGATTACAGACGTGAGCCACCGGCGCCTGGCTTGACTTTTTCTTATATTACCTATTTTCTACAGTTTGTTGAAAAGCTAAATCTTTTAAAAGCTAGTGAGCCTAGTCATTAGGTGCTTTATAGTTTTTTTTTTGCAGTGGATAAAGTTTAGAATTTTGGGTTTCACTTGAAAAGTGTGTGTAGGTATGCTCTTGACTGAAAGCCTCATGAGGAAGGATGCGATGTAGAAGTTTTCAAAATAAGAACTCCCTGGTAGGTCCTGGAATCAACTTTGATATCATTGCTCTTCAATTTGGCATTGTTGTATGGTGTGTATGTACATTAGAATGATTTATGGGACTATTAAAATATTCACAGCGGAAGTGGCGCTATGGCTCAAATAGTAGGGCGCTCGCCTTGAGCTGAAGAATGCAGGGACAGTGCCCAAGCCCAGAGTTCAAGCCCTACCAAAAAAATAATAAATAAATAAATAAATAAGTAAAATATTCAAAGCTTAGGCCTTATCCCAAGAAGAACCTCATCAGAGTTTTCAAAAGTAGAGCTTTGGGCAAGACAGGCATTTTGAGAATGTTGCATGGGAATTTTGGTGCATACCTGTGTTTAAGGACTATTGAAAAATCAGTGGATCTAGCCTTTAGTGTTTCCTGATTCTTCATTATGGTACCAAAGATTGTTTTAAGCATTTATCCAGCTACTAGGATAAAAATTGGGCTTGGTGGATAAGTTGACCTGTCTGTCTGTCTGTCTGTCTGTCTGTCTGTCTGTCTGTGTCTGTCTGTCTGTGTCTGTCTGTCTGTGTCTGTCTGTCTGTCTGTCTGTCTGTCTCTTTTGTCTGTCGTGGGCCTGAACTCTGGCCTGGGCCCTGCCCCTGAGCTCTTCAGCTCAAGGCCAGCACTCTACCACTTAAACCACAGTGCCACCGGCTTTTTTCTGCTTAAGTGGTGCTAAGGAATCCAAACTCAGGGTCTCATGCATGCAAGGCAAGCACTATACCACTGAGCCACCTTCCTAGCCCAGGTTGACCTATATTTGAATACCTATGGGGTCCTTCTTGTTTGTTTGTTTGTTTGCTTGGTTGTGGGACTTGAACTCTGGGCCTGGGCCCTCCCCCTCGGCTATTCAACTCAAGGCAAGTGCTCTGCCACTTGAGTCACAGCACCACTTCCAGTTTTCTGTTTGTTTGTTGGAGATAAGAGTCTCATGGACTTCCTGCCCTTGACTGGCTTTGAACCTTGATCCTCAGATCTTAGCCTCCTGAGTAGTTAGGATTACAGGTGAGCCATTATCGCCCAGCTCCAATAGATAATTCTTTATTTGCTAAACATATCATTGTCAGCAATAGGAAAAGTAGAAAGTGAATTCCTGGATTACAGTAACAGCTTTTCATTTTACTTCCTGTTTTCCTAGCAAACCAAAGATAAAATCAGAGATGCCAGTGATGATAAAATGGTTGTGAAACCAGGTGAAATAAGTCACTTGGTTTCTAACTGTGTAAGCTGCATACTCAGGAAGCTTATTTATTTTTTATTGGCTGTGCTAGTCCTGGGACTTGATGGTCCTTGAACTCAGGCCTAGGTACAGTCCTTGAGCATTTTTGCTCAAGGTGGTGCTCTGCCACTTGAGTCACAGCTCCACTTGGGCTTTTTGGTGGTTAATTGGAGGTAGTCTCATGGACTTTCCTGCCCAATCCGGCTCATTCCATGATTCTCTTATCTCAGCCTCCTGAGTAGCTAGGATTATGGCAGTTGGCAGTATTATATTTTTCAACTCCATAATGCTGGTGTTGCTTATGATGATGCTCATGATTCTCTTTACTTTTACTCTACTTGTCCTATCTTTTCATGATCTTGACCTTATTTTTTTTATGGTTGCAAATGCTCCCAGGAGTCTCAAATCTAATCCTGTATCCCAAGTTATTCCCTTGAGCTCCAGACAGATATATCTATCTATGTTTGTATTTGGATGTTTCACAGGCATTTGGCTTGAAATCTTTTTTCTCAAAACCCACTGGTTAGTGATTTCACTGTTGGTGAAACCTTCACCTTTTTTCTGTCCATCCCTAATGTCTCTTTTCCTTGATTAGGTTTGATAATTTTATTTTCTGTGTAAGGTTATTGTGTAGCTGGTCTTCCTGTTGTTCCATGTTTATTTCTGTTACTGTTTCTCTAATAGAGAACTGAGTTGTCTCTGTGTCTTTCTTGAGATCATTTGGAACATTTGATGCTTAAAGCTAAAATTTGAAACTTCTTAGCAAGGTGCTTTGTAACTACCTGTTCTGTAATGTTTTCACTCTTGTAGCTGGAATCTTTCATCCTTCTACTTTTCCTTTTATTTGAAATTAGGTATATTTTACATATTGTGAAATTCATCTCTTTTAGTGTGAGTTTCTACCACCACTATATTAAATTCCCTACTCTATTCCCAGAAAAGCCTTTTCCTTTCTTCAGCCCCTGATAACCGCAGATTTATATGTTAGCATATAAAGCACTATGGAGTCATAGTATGCAGCTCTTTGCTCTGCCAGTCCTGGGGTGTGAGCTCAGGGCTTGTATGCTGTCCCCGAACTTCCTTTTGCTCAAGTCTAGCACTCTACCATTTGAGCCACAGCTCCACTTCCACAGATTGTTTTGGTTGTGTAGTTGAGATAAGAGTCTCTGTGCTCGCTTCACCAGCACATATACTAAAATTGGCACTATACACAGAAGATTAGCATGGTCCCTGCATAAAGATGATAAACAAATTTGTGAAGTGTTCAATAAAAAAGGAAAAAAGAAAAGAGCCTCACAGACTTTTCCTGCCCAGGCTGGCCTCTAACTGTGATCCTTAGATCTCAACCTCCTGAGTAGCTAGGATTTCAGGATTATGTGAGCCACCAACCACCTGGCTTATACAGTTTTTTAAGCCTGGCATTTTAGCAATCTTAGCATAATACATTTGAGATTCATCTCTGCTGTTGCATCTATTGGTAGAACACTCCTTTGTATTACTGATTGTATGGATGAGTGAACCGAGTTTACTTGGCTACTGCCCAGTTGAAGAATGATTTTTGGCAATTACAAACAACCACTCTCAACATTTCTGTGTTTTTCCGTGAACTTAAGTTTTCATTTCACTTGGGTAAGATTCTAACATGGATTGTCAGATAATAGCTCTGTAAGAAACTGAGACAAAGAAGTGGAGATGTGGCTTACTTATTAGAGCGCTAGCCAAGTACACACATAGGGGTTACAGTTGCATAAGTTAAACTATATTTCTTTTTGAACGGTGTCACCTCTTCTCTCAAGCTCTTCCAGTTTTTCCCTCCCATTACCACCAATAAGTTGGGTTCATTTTCAACCTAATGTCTAGTGAGTACCGCTGCTGCATTTGTTTACTTTTATCCCTATGTATCTGTGCCTCTCCTTACACTCCCAAGACAGAATGAAAAAGCAGAAACAGCAACAAAGAGAAAGCCTTGTTTGCATTTCCTGGAGTTCATTGTAATAAATATTATTTTGTATGGTAAGATGCACATAGGTATTGCATCTTTGTGTTCTTCTCCTAAGAGTATCCTCCTCTGGTCTGAGATAATTTTGCAAAGTAGCTGTACTAGTTTGCATTTCAGCCTGAAGTGTATCAGAATTGTTGGTTCTCTGCCTCTTCAATTGTACTTGATATCGTCAGGTTTTTGTAGGTTTTAGAAATTTGTTTCATTTTTAACTATTGTAGTAGTTAATACTTTTCCTTAATGAATGATAATGTTAATGTTGAAAAATCCCTAGTTCTTGCTATTAACCTATAACATACTATTTGTTATTCTGATTGCATGTATTGCTAAGACTTCTAGTTCTCTTGTGCATGTCCTTTCCTGTCTCCTTATATATTCCCCCATTTTACCAGTCTGATTCATCAGTCTCCCACACTCCCCTCTCCTTTACTGGGGCTTGAACTAAGGTACATTCTACAGCTTGAGCCATATTTTCAATTTTTCAGGCCTAGGTTTGTTTTTCTCTTTCTCTAAAATAATATTGTATCTTTTCTATGCCATGCCCCTAACCTTTGGCAGACTTATTTTATATGCTATTTAAGTGTCTCTTTACTAGTATATAACATATAACAAAGATCAGAACAGATCTGAAATGGTAGGCAGTATTCCTGTCCTTTTTTTTGGTCTGGTCGTGGGGCCTGAACTCTGGGCCTGGGTGCTGTCCCTCAGCTCTTCAGCTCAAGGCTAGCACTCTACCACTTGAGCCATAGCGCTACCTCTGGCTTCTTTTTTCTTTTTGCTTATGTGGTGCTGAGGAATCGAATCCAGAGCCTCATGCATGCAAGGCAAGTGCTCTACCACTGAGCCACTTTCCCAGCCCTTTCTGTGTATTCTTGGAACAAACTTTCTTTATATCTCTGTAAAATTGTTGAACAGAGTTGTAAGTCCAGTTCTGTGCATTTTAACGGGAAAGAACAATTCATTTATAGAAGAAAGACAACTTTCTATCTCTATTTCTTTTCTTTTTTCCATCCTGAGGCTTGTACTCTGGGCCTGTGCTC